GGATTGCAGACCGATCCCTCGGATTGCAGACCGATCCCTCGGATTGCAGACCGATCCCTCGGATTGCAGACCGATCTCTCGGATTGGGAATCCTAGACTGATTCAGAATAACGAGAAGTTCTTTCCCGTTTGTGAAAATATGTCACCGCCCTCTGGACTGGCCACCTCTTGATGACTAATATCGAGGGGGCAGCGTCCGGTGTCGATGCTGAATATTATGTTGGACATGTACTGTATAAACGAAAATGACTTACTCAGTACGTAGCTTGCGGTCTGTACAGAGGTACATAGCTCCTAATTTAATAATGAATAAAAGCGATAATAAGTGCATGAGACATCAAACTGTCCTTATCGTTGATGGTCGCGGACGGCGAGGGGAGGGGGGCGAGGAGTCGACTTTTTCCATCCGATGGTAGAAAGCCTTTGGGCTCATCCGTCCGCATCAATGGGGAGTCACGGCACCGAAAACCTTGACATCACGCTCTAGTTCAACAGCTCATCGAACTATTCCTGATTTTGAGCTCGATGTGATACAATGCGATTGAATAATGGATGGCTGGGAATCGACCGTTCCCTCCCAGGAGTGGGAACTCCATGTCCACTCGCGATCAGATGAGATTGATTGACCTTGTAGCGTCACATGACGACTCATGAGTCATGACTCGTCTCGACATCGGAAAGGCTTTTTCTGAGCATTGGCTTTGTGAAGAGCAATATGACTGGACTTTATTCGAATCGGTATTCGAGCGAAGAGATGAACCAGGGGAGTATGAGTCATTCATAGGGCTGTAAATTTTTCACAGCAAAATTTCGCCAAAATCGCGGGCTTGTCGCGGCGAAAAGTCGGGGAAGTGAGAGAATCCGATCCCATGCAATTTCTTTGTTTGTTTCACTCGATATTTCTATTTCATTTACTAGCGCTCCCGGTCGCCGCTTCGCGGCGACTCGGTATCGCTAGACTCACTACACATGCGCTAGCTCCGAGTGCGCTGACTCCGAGTGCGCTGGCTTCGGGTGCGCGCCCCGTTTCCCCGCTTTCCCGTTTCCCTGCTTTCCCGTTCCCCTGCTCTCCCGTTTCCCCGTTTTCTCGTTTCCCCGTTTTCCCGCTTCCCGCTTCCCCCGCTTTCCCCGCTTTCCCGTTTCCCCACTTTCCCGTACCCGCGCTTTTATTCCATATGTTCTTCGGAAAATCTATACCCTTCACGGCCCCAGCAATTTTCAGCGAGATTCATTAGTAGAAAGACAGAGGCCAATGATGACGGCAACCCCCGATAGCCTTCTTAGGAGCTCCCGAGAATCCGCCCCCTCATAGTGCTCCAGCCGTTGAAAGTCCTGCGAATTCCCGTCTTTCTCTTTAAGAAAACTTTGATTCTCGATGAGAGGACCACTCAAAAAATTTCTTTATGTTGGGGGGTGGGGGGACCCATCACATGAGAACGACGACCCTCAGATGACCTTCCTGAAGCTCCCAGGAACCCACCCCTGAATTTTTGCGGCGATCGGTTCAGGCGTTTGTGAATTCTGCGAATTTAGGATTTTTCATTTTTTTTTTCGAGTTTTCGAATTTTCGTGGGTGGAGCACTCAAACAATTTTTTAAAGGTAGAAGGACTCATCGCATCGGGGAACTGACCCCCCTATAACCACCGCTAGATCCCCCAGAACACGCTCCTAAATTTTCACGACGATCGGTTCAGCCGTTTTCGAGTCTATAGGGTACCCCGGACATACAAACAGACAGACAGACAGACATACGTTTTTATATATATAGATAGATTTATACAACGGTAAGGGCCTGAGCCCGCGAGCCATGCGGCCGCATGTTGGTGACACCTTTCCTCGAGATATGCAGGCACATTGATAAGGAAGATAATATGGATGATTTCACTTGCGCTTGAATGTTGAGCAATGCCGCAGGCTCCTGATGTCGCAGGGGAGACTGTTCCAAAGCATGACCATGTGGTTCAGCGGTGATGACCTCGAGGACGCGTAAACGGTCGCCAGGGTTTTCGCAACGAGTTAGCGAGAAGGCCGTTCGGAGTCAACACTGGTGAAAAGGAGGGATGGCGGAAAATCGGGGAAGCGGTGGACAGATTGAAAAGACAGAGAGGCTACGCGGTATCGATATAGTTGGGAGACATTTGGAGTATTGAGTAGCTTAAGTAGGGGGGATGCTGATGTTCAAGGAGGAAGCCCAAAAATCGCTCTTAACGCGTTGTTTTGAGAGACCTGGATCAGACAAGACACAGTTGTTGGCAGGATCCCCATACGGCAATACAGTAGGAAATCGAGCTATTTACAAAGGCGTCGAGGATTCTGGCGAGGTGCCTCCGCGGGAAACCGAGTCGCCGCAGTCGATGGAGACAGAAGACAAAGGTGATGAGTTTGGAGCGAAGCTTGGTGGCGTGGTCTCGCCACTCTAAGAAGTGATCCAGAACCACACCGAGGCATGGAGCAAAGGGCGAAACGGAGAGCGGTATCTTGTCCAAAACCACAGATCCATCTGCGATAGGCTCATGCGATCGCCAACGTTGGAAGCATAGGAGGTTTGTCTTCTTGGCGTCGACGAGTTCGGGAATGAATTGAGTGAGAAGTCTCATTTCGAGCCAAGAACGAGAGAAGCTGTCCCCGCAAGCCCGTCGGAACGATGTGATTCCAGTATGGTGTAAGAGTTTCTCACCATCGAGCTCGATCCCTTCCGGCTTTTCGTCTTGAGGCTCGTAGTGCGATCGATGAGTCCTCCGCGAAATGCCTCAATGAGTTGGGAATAGGAACAACAACGGACTCGGTTCGGAGGGAATCCTCGACGCAGCATCAAGAACCTATGAAATGGTACACGATAATCATTTGAAGGGAAAAGCTGGAGGCCAGAACGCCGATTCACGGAGCTGAATCGAGACCATCTTGCCTTTGCATCGCCCAATACTGGGAGAATGCGGTCATTCCGTAGATGCGGCTTAAAACACGAGACGTAGGACGGGGAGTCTGTGGAAGAGAGTCCGATTATAATATACCAATGGCGCCATCAGCTACGTCGAGAACAGGGATACACCTAGAAGGGCCGCGTGGACTTACAATGCGGGCCTTCGCAGAAGAACTTTTTCGTCCCCCATCCAGAAGAGGGGGGGGGGTGAGCCGGTCCCCGTCCTTCCGGACAGCAGTGCACTCTCCGGTCTCAAAATCCCGATAGTACAGGGAGGTTGCTCCACGAAAGTTATTCGCCAGATTTTGCACGAGAAGGGTACCGTCGCTTTCTAGTTGCACGCGGATGGACGGGCCACGCTCGCAGTGCGAGGTGGAAATGTACACATCGTCGGCCATCGCTCTCAAAATGTCTAATGATCGTCGGCGATAATTTCCACTTGGAATGATTTCGTTGTCTACACCAACTTTTTCGGGCTGATCCACACAGCCAAGGTTTAACGTTCCGGGTACTGTTATTCACATTGCTTCCGAGGACGGATCCATAGAGCAAATGTACCCGGGAGGATCAAGGCCGAGTACCTGCATATTCTTCCGGTAGCAGGGATCAAAGCCACACCGCCTCCCGCGCGAGCGGCGTCGTCGCGGCTATGCACGTTTGCACGAGTAGTGACAAACGCGCTAACCACTCGACCACCCGTCGGTTCGTTGTCTACACCAGTGGTTCCCAACCTTTTTCTTCAGGGGTTCCGTAGGGGTTCCGCAGACTTTGGGGTTCCGCGCAATCCGCCACGGAACCCTAGGAACGACAACGGACTCAGTTCGGAGGGAATCCTCGATGCGGCATCTAGAACCTATGGAATGGTACGCGATAATCATTTGAAGGGAAAAACTGGAGGCCAGAACCGTCCCCCGGTCCTTTATTGGCCTGAAAACGTCTCTCTGGAGGGAGCGAATTCTAACGTATGCGGGATGGTTGCGGCAAGGGGCGCGATGACGACCGCTCGCCCCGGGCGCCCCCGATCTTAGACCCGGGCTTGTAAGAGAATCACCAGAAGGCCGATTTACGGAGCTGAATCGGGACCATCTTGCCTTCGCATCGCCCAATACCGGGAGAATGCGTTCATTCCGTAGATGCGGCTTAAAACACGAGACGTAGGACGGGGAGTCTGTGGAAGAGAGTCGGATCATAATATAGCAATGGCGCCGAGGGGCACACCGCCGTTCGAGTCGGTCAGGCAAAAGATCCATGGCTCCTGCCAGGGCTCGTTCGAGGAGCTTTGGAGAGAGTGGTGGGAACAATTCTAGGCTTGAAAATGCATTTCCCGCCGAAGTCATCGCTTAGCTCGACTAGGGCCGAGCGAGGTTCTATTCCATAATCTGTATATGTGATATAATGTAAGCTTTATGAAAGCTGAGACCACCTCGGTTATATCAACTTCTTGGACGACAATGCAACTTAGAACGATTGATGATTGCTCAATTGCTCAGTCAGATGACAGAGCAGCTGATGACGATGATCTGGGTCGGAATCCGCCCAGAGGTACCGCGCGGTTCATTAGATAGCGACGATCTCAGAAGCAAGCTCTTCGTAGAGCTTTCTTCTGGTGAATTGAGAAGGTTATTCGAAAATCGAGAGACACCGTTCTCCCGTCGATGAAAAATTCACTAGCTTGAGCACCACCTCACGGATTAAGTCCTTTTTTGAGGCACAAGGATCCTCGGGATCTCCGACCGAAAGTCCGATCCGGATACATCTCGTCGGGAAGTGCCTTGGTGCGAAAGAAATTCGAACGACAGATGGGAGGGGGAGCTTCTGGTTTGAAAGAGTCGCGATTGAGATTAAGCGGTTTTCTCTATAACCAGAGGGGAGGAAGAAAGCCGACTCAGGTCAAGCATACCAGCTTACGGCGCGGATTCTTAGCTCCGGTTTGGAGCTCGAAATTCAGGAATCGCCCGGGGTAACAAAGTTTCTTAGATAAAATTAGCTCCTGTGGAATAAATTCAAGCGGGAGGGGTTCGTTGCCAACATATACAGAATATATATTATTTTATTATTGCGGACAACAAGTCGCCCCGAAGTATTATCTCAATCGAGGCACCGATGATACTCCGGAACGATCTGTGCTCCAGGCTAGGTCCCGCATCAACCTCCGATGGTTAGAATGAGGCCTCAGATGTGAGCCGGTCCATCAGGCAAGGAACTGCAATCCTGAGATCGAGAAGTGCGGGTCCGAATTCCTCTATTTCGAAGAAATCGGGTCTCGGAATCTCCGGGTGAATTGGGGAGTTCAGAGTTCGATTTTCAGCCTCCGTCCTCGCGTCATACTTCTCGGCAGAGGTTCTCCTGCCCTGGACAACTGGAGCTCGATATGAAAGCAGGTCAATTCTCTCCCTGTGGCTCGCCCCTCAATGTTGCTTAGCAATGTCGGAGAAATACTCCAGGAGGTCGTCGATGGAGAACTCGAGGGATATCATCGATCCTGAGTAGCAGGTTTCCAGCAGAGCTTGGATGGAGTTGTACTGTCGGATGAACTCATCTTGCATGTGCCGCCACACAACTTGCAACAGGTTTTCTTCCGGTGAGAGATGCTTCTCCACTTTTCTGGAATGAACGGGATCAAGACGACTCGTATATGCATGCTTGCATGGGAAGGCGTAACGTGCAGCTAGCGATTCCAAGCAACTCACTTGTACAGAGCTTCAAGGCCTCTCTTCACTTCACGACCTGGGAATTCCTTGATCACTTTCCGCAACTCCGATTTCGAGTACTGATGAATGAAGCAAACGTCGGATTTCTTCGTTCCGGTGTCTATTCTCGCCTGCACTCCCTCGAAGAAAATATTCAATTTCTCCAGAGGGCGGCCGAAGTAGTTGGTGACATAGGACTGAAGCGAAAGAATCCCAATATGAAGTTCCACGTGGGATTTTGTTGAACTATACTATATTTTGATTTTATGATGGCGCTCGCGCCATCGAGCGTCGCCGGCTCCGCGGACTGATTCGCATTATTGGAGGAATGTGATACAAGCTTATCTACGCAGGTACTCACCTTCAGAGCATATTGATATCGTTCCTTCGCTTCCTTGCGCTCGTCCTCGAGTATTCGAAGCTCATAGAGCCCGGTGAACATATGATGATAATTCTCCATGCATACCACCTCTGGTGGTGTACGACCGTGCTCCACAGAGAGGCGAACGATTCCGTCGAATATCGCGTGCACAATCTGCAATGGACATCATAAGTCATTGAATCGAATAATCGCAATCGACGTCGATGTCCTTCGCCCAGAGAGTTCCCCGATCAGGAGACAAAAGAGCGAGACATTCACCTTAGAGTACCACTTCTGGAGATCGCTCCGCCGGTCGCTCCCTTTGAATACGGCTTCGCACTGGGTCGCAAACTCCCCGAAATTGCTCACGAAGCTCAAAATCCCACACTTATTGCGTCGAGGTGGTTTAGCCTCGTTTATGCTCGCTGTGAAAGGAGGAAATTAGTATTCGCAATACGGTAGGGCTGGCTTTTCGCCGAGCGGAATCGAGGCGCAAATAAGCAGCGAGGATCGAATAAGGAGCTGGTGACTGCAGCCGGCTACAGAGATGACACGTACCCATGTGAGCGCCCATGAACTGATCGAAATTCCTCTTGGCATTGACCAGAGCCATTCCGTACAGTTTGCATAAATACGAGCCAGCGTCCTCGGTCTGTATCGTATGATGACAGAGTTTCACGAGGAGGTACATCGAATATACACCGTCGTAGGTGGCAACAAATTTGTTCAGCTCATCTTCGAGAGTTTTGAACAGAGTCGCCATGACATCTCTGACCTGCAAGGGACGTGTCCGATAAGCTCGAAGTCGTTTGCGCAGAGAAGTATTTTTGAGGAGATAGCTGCTTCTGTATCGAGGAGCCATGTCGATAAGCAGGAAGAATTCCCGATCGAATCCCATTGCCACTTGCCATAGCGCGACAATGAATTTGAGACAATGAATGTCCGATCGGAATTCATTCCTCGATTTCGGAATCATAACTTACTTCTAGGCTGACGTCCCTGTCTCGTTTCTTCAACCGACTGAGCATCTCATCGCTCGAAGTGTGAGACACAGAATCGAGATCGTCGACTGATGTGAATTTGGAGGGAGTCCGTGATCCGGATGATATTTCGCTACTCTCAACGCTCATTTGTACATTTTCGGCTCGCCGAGCTTTCTCGGTTGTCGTCAGGTCAAGGAATTCAATGCAGAACTGTTGTTCGCTCAGATAGGCTGGTTCAAGTGAAGTCAGAATACATTCCAGAATCAGGTCGAACAGCTGTCTCGCGACTGCATCCTCCTTCGTGCAGAACTGTTCACTGGCCATACCTGCGGCTCACGATTGCTTCACGTTAGAGAGCTCGGAAAGGCACGGAGAATCTTTAATGACAGCCCATCGAATCGAAACTCCACGGAATTCGAATTTCAGAACTCACCCAGGAGAAAAGTGGTACGCGACTTAGTCGGAGTGCTGGACGCGCCTTCCTGTGCGTTCAGCACCAATGTACCTTTCTTCGTGTCCAGGGTACCGCTAGCGCTGCGCGATTCCTCGAAACGCAGTTTTGAGTTGGCTTGTTCGAAAAACACCAGGATTTCTTTGTGGTAGATGGTCCGGAAGCGGTCTGAGGAGAGAAAGTGGGATCAAGTTGACAAGGCTCGCCGAATTTCCTTTCAGTTTCACATGAATGAGATTGAGCGATGACTCGATCGGGAAAAGCATGCAATTACCGAGATATCTTTCTTTTATGGCCGCATACGTGCTGTTGTTGTTCCTTTTGAGCCAAGCCATCAGAGGAGAATAATGACGGAGCGCATCGTGTACCAAGTCATGCTTGCGCAGCACGGCCTCCCCCGCTGCCAGTGTTCGTCGTCCCTGAAGAGGGGCAGGTTGAAGTCAATCTCTTCCGTGAGCGCTATCGGATCTGAGGATTTTGGTGTCGATTATTATCATTCGACTCAGGGACTCACCGATCCGTAGTCGACGCTGATCTTGATAAGTTGGTCATTCAAGTAGTGGGACAGATTCCTCGTGAAAGACTGCATGAGACTGTCGAGGAACTTCATTTGATCTTTGATGGCGGTCATCTCCTTCAGATCGGGATGCAGCTCAATCGACATGGCTTGCTCCAAGGCACTGGAACGTGGCTGACGTAAGTTTCGTGCGGGGAGCGCGTATCGCCTCGACGATTCCCGGTCAGGGGTGATTTCCAGCCGCGAGAGCGGTCAAGCAATCGGTGGTACTTACGTCGCCGCCTCCAGATAACGTGGGACGGAGTCCTCGGACTCGAACTTCATTGGGTTCACTATGATCATACGGTGCTCATGACTGAGATCCATCTTATTGACGATGTTCTCCACGAGCGTGCGGAGCTTGAGGATGTTCTCATTCTGGACGTGGATGACGGCATCCTTCTCTTCCATACGCATCACTGAGTCTCGAACTTCGCGCAGGAGATTGTCATAGGTATCCAATTTTACTTCGAGTTGGGAGGCTTCATCGATGACAGTCTGCAATGTTGAGCCTGTGTGCTGAAATCCTCTCCCAACGGAGGGGGAGCTTCACGAGGGGAAAGCTCGCCCGGCATTCTCAGAATCAAGACATAGGGATACCCACGTCGAACAAGGTCATGAGCGCTTCCACTTTCTTCTCGCTCTCCATGATCGCGTGAACATTCGTTGCATCGATGCTCGCTAATTGTCGATTCAATTTCTCTGTGAAAGCTTCCGCGTCGGAGATGGCGAAGTTGTACTTGACCATCAAAGACTCTAGATCACGTTCTTCCTTCTCGGTGAGCGCCTGGTATTCGTTCACTTCGAGCTCACGTTCACTGTGGAGAAATAGAGACCCAAGACTTCATTCCATCGGGACTTCAGAATCCACGAGAAAACGGAAAATCCGGAAGAGCAGCGCTTGAGTTACCCCCCAGAGGATCGAGAAAAGTGGGAGCCTCACCTGCCAGGAGCATTAATTTTCGCCGCAAGATCCGAAGTCCCTAAGATATCTTCGAAAAGATCACTGCGACAGTTTTTGAAATGTATCTGCTCGTTTTTCGGTAGGCATCGAGAATATCGGTACAAGCATCTGACGAATCCCTCCTTCTCGGCGACGGTCGGCGCCGTCCATTTGAAGACTCGATCGACATGGATCTCGAAGTCGACGGTCTCTGGAATCAACCAGCCAAAACGCATGTGAGGTTATTTTTCTCCTCTTCTTCCCTTCGCCTTCTTCGCTCATCATACCTTTGTCACCGTCGCTCTTCAGATCGACAGTTTTGATGTCCTGGAGCTTCCATTTCGCTTTCCGTGATAGATCTTTTTCCTTGATCCAATGCAAGTAGACTTTTGCATTCTGATCTGTCGTGAGAGCCAGCCATGAATACTTCTTCTTGCGATTTTTAGTTTTCTCGACCTTGATGCAGTCCAGGATCCGATACTTGTCTTCCGGGAACAGCTGAAAATGCGAATAGATTCTCTTGCTGAATTCGCGGACCTGCGGCCTTCTAAATTGCGAAACGGGTCTCCTGATCCGGACTCTTCCGGTCATGAGAGGATTTACGAGGCGAGACCGATTGCACGCTCTCAATGAATGAAGCCTCCTCGGATCGCGAGCAGAAACTAGTCTGAGTCAGCCGTTAATTTTTGTTCCCGCTGACAGGCCACATCGACCGCCCGCAAGGTTTATGGGTCCCTTTCGATATCGGGTAGGTAAATCAGTCCCTGAGACTATACCGGCTACCAAACCCGGAATAGTGGAATACCTTGCACCGGAATGGTGCCCCCAGACCGTCTCATCGTCGGCTCACTCTGGATCTAACTGAGCATGATTATGGGGGATTCTCTCCTCGCTTGCGACTACTAGATCAATAGAATTTGTCGAGGTCGGATAATACACCCTCGGTGAGCCGTCCTCGACCTTAAGCTTACCGGAGCGAGAAGCTTCTTTGATTGAGTCACGCGGTCGTCGATCATATCGAGTTTTTAACTTCAGCTGAAACACTGAATTCTTTACGGACTTTATAACATTGGAAGGAATTCGCCTTAACTCGGCTCCGCGTTCGAAAGGTCCCGTCGGCATGTAGCCTGTCAGTACCGCAGAGGGTGAGGGTTACTGTTGTGACCCTCTCCACTCTTCCACATCATAGTACGAAACACGATGATTTATTCCGAGACGAGAGATGAGAGCGTCGTGATCCTACATGCTGCACACAGCGGCAAACTCGAAACGCTTTTCACGGCACCGGGGCGAACAAATGCTACTCCTTGGGAAATGAGGGAGGCTCCAGCATTAAAGACCTCCTCTTGCTGAGACGAGCCTCGAATTGGTATCGCATGACCGTGCGTACGAGCCGATGGGCTTCGCGCGGCCGGTGTGCATTCGATTTTCCTTGACCAGTCTGGTAATCCACCGCAGGTGCGCGGTGTTTCAGATGGAGATACGGGGAGGCAGTGTCGCAGGGCAAGACTGGCTTCTGGCTCTCACTCGCAGAAGACCATTTCCTACCTTAGAATACCTCCTTCTCTCATTGGAATGATCGATGCATGCTTCTCATGCGATCCAGAACCCGGGAGCAGGAGAGAAAATCGTTGGGTCTTTTGTTCATTTTCCTCCCCGGTCATATCGTCCCAGCGAATGTTAGGCGAATCCGGACAAGCGACTGAGTGAGGGGTAAATTCCGAGCAAACTCGACGTGGGTTCCCCTGTCCCCTCTCGAATGCCTCGGGCTCGGGGAAATGCTAGGTCATTCGCGGTTACCGATCGAGATCCTCGTGAATTTCTCACATTTCGATACGCGATTTGCGGCGACACCGTGCCACTTGGTCGAGTCCGGACGGCGATCGCCTAAGGCAAGACCATGTACAGAGCACATGTATTGCTCCTACGATCCCCAGGGTGCAAGTTGGTTGTCGCGCATCGGTAATTCAGCTCTGGCTTTTCGTTCATTTTTTTCCTCAGAGGGAGCGCTCGAGATATCCAGCCATTCCTAGAGGAGCTCGGTATCATGGTATGTAGACGTATGATGGAGCGTTTCAATGGTGTATATCTGATAAGGCGCACCGCTGGAATCCCGAAGTGCCTCGTTCCAATTTTTCTGTATGCGTAAGGAACCCGCTTGCGGAACACTGTCCTCAGCCTCTGAGTCCGACAGATTCTATGGGGAATCACATCTGATACTTTCATCGACCCTCTTGAGCTTCATGGCCGACTCTTATTTCTCTTGGAACGCGCTATATATCCGATCAATCTCAATCATTGAAGTGGCGAGCCGTCGGATCACGGGGCTGACGCGTGAGGCTCGAAGGAATCATGCGGTCCCGAGTCCCGAATACGCCTAAGCAGGCCGACAAGGAGGTAAATCCGAAAGAGAAAAAATTGGTCTCCATAGTTCTCCTCCGGTCATTTCGCTCACTGGATTGCAGGCAGATCGAGACCGGGAGAAGTCTCGGAGCTGGAATAGCACCCCAGATGAAAAACGTCCCTGCGATCGTACTGGAATCGTCGAAGTAGTTCGAGGCGCGTGCTGGCGTGATAATGATTATCCGAATCACCGGCAGAACGAGCCCCACCCCCTTGTTTCCGTGGGTATCGGCGATAGAATCGTGCGGATATGGGAATGTACCGTCCAAATCAGTCGATACGGCTTGTTCGGGTCGTCATGAGGGAGATATTCTTCACTCTCGAGAATGAACGTGGCAAGATGATGTTGGAGGAGGATACCGACGTGAATCATAAGAGCTGCCCGTTGACGGACCTGATCCCGCTTGCAGGAGGTGGCGTGTAGCTCGCGTCCTCGGTAATCAGGGTGGTCGCTCCCACGAAAAGGGAACGGCATCGCTAAAACATGGGGACTCGTTCGAAAAGAAAGAGATTGAGGCAATGGTCGACTCTCCCTTTCTTAATGAGCGAAGGGAGGGATGCTCAAGAAGATTGAGAAAAAGTCCAGTATCTCGGGGAACGGATACTTTGAGAGCTGCGGCGGCAAGAGGGCAGTCGGAGGGAATTCCGAGAGAAAGATAGTATGGTGGATGCGATCCGAATTATTGATCATATCACAATGGAATGCGAGAAGGGGTGCGATACATGCATAGTTCGGGAGTGTCCCGCACTAACAAATGGCGCTTTCTCCGATCGCAGTCTGGAGGGAACGCAACGAATGCTCGCGAAAGGGGGACCACCGTCTATGGGGCTGAAGGCTACAACGCTACGTGTATCACCACCAAGAGCAGAGGAGTGCGCACGGATCCTGTCCGGTGCCCCGAGAATTGCCGAGAATCGAAGGATAACAAACCAGGAAAAAATTGATGAACAATCAATAGGTCTGCGAATCCGCTCTTCTCGTCTCATGATTCGTCAGAGCTCGATGGGCTCTTCTCGGGCTCTCAGATCAGCGAGAAGGGTTTCCGTTTCCACTGAAATCTTTCTCCTCGTTGCCATGCATACTCCTCGAAGCTCGATACCTAGGTTTTGGATGTTTTAAACCATATCAGGAGCACGGCTGCACCAGGCGGGAAGGTTCCCACAAGTCTGATAGGACTCCGCTCATGCCCTGTCACGTTCCCAGCTTTCGAATTCTCGTTCTGCGTCAGTCGGGTGCGGATTCGGCGCAGACTCGGTGTAGGCGAAAGTTCTCACTGCAAGCGTTTGGTCGCGACTCCTTGAGTTCCGTGGTATCAGACTTTTCTCATTCGTTTCGTAGCGATTAAGTTCGAAACATCGCTTAATCCAGTTGGATAGACGCTTGTCGAGCCGGAGGGAGCATGGATGCAACGCTTGTTTCCGACCCCTTCTCAGGCTGAGGGCCAGTATCTGCCCGGTGTCCGCCTACATTCTGAGTCGTGAAAACACGCGATATCTGGAATGATCTTCGGAGAGCCCGAGGGCTGAAGTGCCTGTCTAGGGATATCGGCTTCGCTCCGTGAGCAGCGGCGATTGGTCTTCTGATCAATGCGGTCTCGAGTCGAGAGCACACTATGCCTTCAGAAGAGAGAATAAGGTTCACAATATAGGGCTTGATGTGCGTTGATCGACACTGACTGATATTCCGCGGCACACACTACGGGGTCGCCATGCAATCGCCTTAGGAACACCCCCCATATATCATGGTACATACCATCCTGACTTCTCGGAGGAATAATAGCTATTCCAGATGGCTCTCCTGTGACTGTTTTCCGAATCGTTCACGAATTTCTTCCCGACAAATGCCGAGAGGAAGGAACTTTTATGGCTGGGACGTTCCCCCGAAGAACCCAGGGCAATATCCTCGTTTGTGGCTATGCATTTGAACCCAGAAAGGAGTGATTCCTCAAGGGAGCGCTGATGATCACCTGTCAGCGGTAGATTGAGCGACGTCGATAGAGAGGTTCAGCGGGACCTGACTCCTGACCGCCCTGGGCACTGACGATCCTTCGCTCGGTCTCATGACAGCTAATAATCACAACAGGCAACCTCTACCGGGTCTGGTGGCCGGCTCTCTCCCGAAAGATTCGATTCCATCGATGAGAGACTCTTCGCGGTACTCTCTGGTCGCAGGGTTTCAATCTCAGAAACCGTTATAACACGAGCGCTCGGTTTTTTCACTCGCCCGGTCTTGGTCAGAACTCAACGTGTCTATCCCCACGTCGCAGCCCTAATGACAGGAGCGGAAACCTGCCTCTACGTTGATGTGGCCCGGAGACGGGGCTTTGTTGTTTTGTTCGACGATTCGTTTGCAAAACTTTGATGAGATGTCCTATGACGACATGTCCCCTGGACGGAGATTGTCGTGGACGATGGAGAAACTTTTCCTCCGGCTCGAGGTCCCACAGCCGGCGCGTTTTTCTGTAAGCGTCGGCATCCGGCTGGACGTTCCTTTTGGGGGAATTAGGACTTCTCCATCAGCCGCGAGGGCACAACGAGAATAAGTCCACCGGGATAATGAGAGCCCCGCCGACTCGGCCGATCGATGCATGGTGACGACGAACACGTATCCGCCCGAGTTCGTCGACTTTCTCTCAGGAGCGACAATTTAAACGCAGGGTCCGCCGGTCGTTGCAAGCTGAGGGACTCTCAGCCCTGGTGCCAACTACGAGAAAATCGAGGAAAGCGGGGATCACAAAAACCATAGAGACCAGCAAGAGAAGACTGAACGTTGGCTGGAAAGCTCTTATACATACAAAGGGGTCTAGGAGGAGAAACGCGTCCTCAGAGCGGCTCCCGTGAGAACTTCTACTTTTCGACGCATTGCTCAGGCAGGAGTGACAATCTATTGCGCTCGAACCTTGTTCCCTCGTGAGGGAGGAAAACTCTACGAGGACCCTCTCGATTTGCAGCGGATGCAATATTCGGCTTTGTCCAGACGCCGCAGGGGTCTCACAATGGGAACCCATGTAGAGAGTCGAAACTTCCGAAGCCGATGGCCGAAGCGCGAAATGTCAGGCAACGGAAGATGGCCCTCGCTGGGAACATATCCATCGACAGCAACGGGTGTTCTTGCTCCGATGGAGTTGCAGGCCAAACTTTACCTTCCCGCCCCAGACTCTTCGATACTATGAATGATGTTGAGCATCAATGCAGCCCACGTTTCGGATTGCTCTCGGATTCTCCGATGCGTGAATCCTAACGCAGTAGACAACAGGCGATAATGGATCTAAGCATGGGAGACCGACCGCTTCACTTTCGAGAAGCGTGCCGGATATCCCCCTGTGAAGCCTTCCGTAGACTATTCGACACCGAGCAGTTGTAATCCGCCTCCCATCTCATCAGGAGTTGGAGCGTAGTATCTGGAGAGCAGATTAGATTTGAATAAAGACAGCGTCCCAGCAGGATGTTTTGGGATAATTTTCACCGCCTGCGCCCTCTGTTGGTAGACGGACAGGCTCGAAGCTCACCGGTCCGATTCTCTTTGACTGACTGAATATCCACGTCAGCTGCACAACGGCCGACTCCCAAGCAAACGAGATGAAGGTAAGCTTCTCTGCTCTCGAGAAGGATA